CTCTACATAAATCTGCCTGTTAAATAAAAATAAATCTTTAAAAATTTAAAGAATCTATTTGAAAGGCAAAATTATGGAGTAGAGAGAGACCTTCTACCCACTAATTTACTCCCCAAATGACTGCAACAGCCAGAGCTGGGCCTCTCCAAAGGCAGCAGCCTGGAGCTTCTTCTGGGTCTCCCATGTGGGTACAGGGCCCAAGTACTTCGGCTTAAACCATCGCGCCACAACTGGCCACCCCCCTTTTTCAGAGGGAACAACCTTTACCTGGAAGCATTCAGGATACTAGCCTCTCCCAGCCTTTTAATTTCTTTTAAATTATAGAGTGGTATTCCATTAGTAGAAGGATAGTTATTTCATTTGAGCTGCATCAGAAAGAACTGAAGATGAGCACCTTTGTTTCTGTGTCAGTTTACAAGCCCCATACTGTGTCAGATAAGATTAGTAGCTGTTGAAGATGCAACCAGGACAGGACTATCTAAAGACATATTTAGTCCCCCCCCCCCCAACCCCCAAAAAAAGACACTATACAACTTAAAGACAAATTTTCCACAGCCTTACATTTATGGTTTGTTTTGTTTTCTTTTAGGAATTGAATTGTGTGCAGGGGATTAAAGGCTTTATAGACAAAAAACTAAAAAGTAAAAACCCGACTCTGTCCCTGTGGAGCTCCATTCACCGCAGTGCCTGTCATGTCTGTTTTCTTACAGTTCATGTTCCTAAGAAAAGAAACAAAATTTATGGACTCAGGAAGTCGTTTTTGAGATTTACTGAATGCAGAATCATTTGAAAACCAGTACTTTATTCTTTTATTTTGTCTCTTTCTTCCTAAGTATTCTATTGAGGCACACAATTCATATAGCATAAAATTTTTTAATTTATTTGTTTATTTTTAAAGATTTATTTATTTGAAAGCAAGAGTTAGAGGGCGAGGCAGAAAGATCTTCCATCCATTGATTCACTCCCAAAATGAACACAGTGGCCAGGGCTAGAACACATTGAAGCTAAGAACTTCATACTGTTCTCCTACATGTGGGTGCAGGGTGCAATGACTTGGACAGCCTTCCTTTGCTTTCCGTTACTTTCCCTGGCACCTTGGCAGGCCACTGGATAAGAAGTGAGGCAGCCAGAGCATGGATGGTCAACCATGAGGAATACTAGCGTAGCAACCAGCAGCTTAACCTACTATTTCACGATGCTGGCCTGTGAAATTAGTCATTATAAAGTGAACAGTCCAATAGCAGTACAACACACAGTTGTACAACAGTCACCTTTATTAAGTTCCAAAACAATTTTTTTTAAAAATAAAGATTTATGTACCTTTCTTAAAAAGAGAGATTTACAGAGAGAAGGAGAAACAAAGACCTTGCATCTGCTGGTTCACTCCCTAAACGGCCACAATGCCAAAACTGAGCCAATCCAAAACCAGAAACCAGGAGCTTCTTTCAGGTCTCCTATGTAGGTTCAGGGTCTCAAGGATTTGGGTCATCCTCTACTGCTTTCCCAGTCTACACTGATGGAAAGAGGAGCAGCTGGGACTTGAACTGGAACTGGTGTGGGCTGCCAGTGTTTATGGGCAAAGAATTAGCCAGTTGAGCATCAAGCCTCTTTAAAACACCCCCAAATAAACTCCATACTCCTTAAGTGGTTGTTCCTTCCCACTCCCACCTCCCCTCAGCCTTAAGCTATCTTTATATATCTTTAAGAACTTTTAAAAGATACATTTATTTGAAAGGCAGAGAGGAGAGGAAGAAAGTGCTTCCATCTGCTCATTTACTCCCCATGTGCCTGCCAACAGCCCAAGGCTAGGCAGGGTCATAGCCAGGACCAAGGGGTTTCATCTGAGTGTCCCACGTGGGTAGCAGGGACCCAAATTCTTGGGCTAGCCACTGTCTAGAAGGCACATTAGCAGAAGGCAGGATCAGATGTGTAGAGTAACTGGGACTTGAACCAGGCACTCAAATATGAGATGTGGGATGTGTGATTTAACTCACTGCTGCTATAATGCCCACCCCTTTTCAAAAATTGAAATTAAAATAGTAAAATAAGAACCATTGTGTTGGTGTGTCAGGCCAATCATTCACCTGGGTACCTATATTCTATATAGGTGCCTGGTTTGAGTCTCAACTGCTCTACTTTTGATGTGGCTCACTAATATGGCCTGGGAAAGGGGCAGAGGACGGCTCAAGTTCCTGGGTCTTCGTACCCACGTGGGAGACCCAGGAGAAGTTCTGGCTTTGGATTGGCTCAGCTCCAGTGGTTGTAGTCATTTGGTGGAAGATCTTTATTCTTCTCCCTGTAAAAATCTGGCTTTCAAATAAAAATAAATAAATAAATCATTTTTAGAAGAAAAACAGTTACTAAAGATAACTTGAAGTATTATGATGTGATTTTTAAAAATCTTAAGAAATTCGTATTGCAAAAGCAGAGGTTAGAGAGAGGAGGAGAGACAGATTCTCCAACTGCTGGTTCTCTCTCCTAATGCTTGAATGTCAGGAGCTGGACCAATCTGAAGCCAGGAGTCGAGTTGTGTTCTAATACTTTTTTTTTAAGTTTTAGTTTTATTAAGGGTTGAGCAAGATTGATATTTCATCTGCTGGTCCACTGTCCAAAGACTTGCAGTACCCATGCTAAGCCAGGTCAAAGCCGGGAGCTCAGAACTGTTTGTACTTGGGTGTTAGGGAAACGAAGTAGCTGAGCCATCACCCACTTTATCCCAGGGTGTGAATAGCAGACAGCTTCAGTTGGAAGCCGAGTTGGGTCTCCAGACCAGGCACAGGAAGCCTGGTGTGCTAATCAAAAGTAGATGTGAGTGTGCAATTAGAAAGCTAGAATGTATACCATTACGGTAGCCTTCTGATTTCCTACATAAAACAGTTGTTAGCAGCTTGACAGACATTCTGTGCATTTCTGTCATGCAACTTCTATACAGGTAATATGGAACTACACCTTACTTAGCAAAAACCTCCAGTGACTTTCAGAGATGATCCTGGTGGTTATTGTAAACATGTTGAATACATTAGGGAAAGATGTGGTCTTTTCCCAGTGGGATGGGGTTTGTGAGGAAATTTCATTACTCAGAGCTCTCTTTTTCAGAAATAGAGAAAACCCTGTGCTGGCTAGATGGCAGAGGCCCTCCCTGGTTGGTGTATCAGTTTGCTGTCATATTCCCCCCTCCTTTTCTCTCATACAAATATAGAACAAACATAATAATCAAAGATTGATGAAACTCATTAACAAAGGAGCCAATAGGGTGGTGAAGTTGGCTTCAAGACCATTTGGGAAGAGCATGTATATAGACACTGAAGAAAGCATTAAAATAAAATTGCTAGACTAGGTACAAAATTGGTTAATATCCATAGGGCATTAGAACCATAACCTTTGGACTTTGTAGGATAGAAATTATTTCAGAAATAAAAATCTGAACATTACTTTATAGGTTCATAGGCTGGATTCTTGTCAGCAGTGAGCTCTAAATCCAGTCTCTGGGAGGACCTATGAAGCAGTTTTTCAGTATGCACTGGGAGTGCTTTGAGTTCTTGATTTGCTGCCTTCAGAGTTTCGGTTACATTTCTTAACAGTGAGAACGAACTGTTGTAGTGTGTGACAGTGTCAGAGATGGAGGTGGGGACCAGATCTTGGAAGAGCCTTTTATCCTAAACTGAGATACTTAAATTTTTGTTTTCAACCAATGTTTATTGAGCACTTATTGCCAGGAGCCAGATGGTGGCTTTATTTTGATCTTGAGTGTGAGGTTGTGCTCTGGTGCTTCTCTGGAGGCTGTGTTAAGGAGTCGCTTGGGAAGTTGCTTTTCTGAAAATACACATGGTCTTTGCTCTTGCATTCCCCTGTGATGTCATTGCCTGTGTAGAGTCCATGTGTTTTGAAAAAGCTTGCTAGGTGGTACTCTATCCTTTCTTTGAAAAATCATTGTTTTTAGCTATTTTTTTCCAATTGAATAAACACTAAGAACATGTTAATTGATGTTGTAAAAGTTTCCACACTCTTCTTACTTGTTTACTCCCAAAACATTTAATGTGATTATTTTAAAATCAGAATAATCATAAATAGTTTTTATGTATCTTATAAAACTGAAAGTTTTTAAAGAAGTTAGGATTAGTATCCCTAGTAATTTAATTAGATTATATATCTTACTGAAAAACACATTATTCTTTAAAATCATAGCTGACCCTCATAACAAAGATGTGATGAAAAGACTAGACTGTAAAAGAATATTTTTAGTGGGAAAATAGTGGTAAAGGGAAGTAATAAAAGAAAAAGTGTGTATGTGTGCTTAACCTGTAGTTAAATTATTTGACTTAAGTTGACAAACTAGACAGGGCAGCCATTGTGGGTATGCACCCGAGTTCTGTACAGTGTAACTTGAATCAGGCAGCTGTATTAGCCAATTTTTTGTTACTAACTAAGATACCTGAGAGGTGCTAATTTGTTTAGGAAAGGGTTTTTTTTTTTAAAACACACAGTTGTGGAGGTTTGCAGTTCTAGATTGGGCAGCCCCATCGGTCTGGCATCTGAGGATGTCTGTGTGTGTTTGTGAGTGAACAGTCATTCGAAGGCCAGGAAGCAGAGGGAACAGCCAGGCCCAACTCAAAATTAACCCCCTGTGGAAAACTACCTTCTAAGGATGCATTCAGTGATCCAAAGGCCATTTGTTGGCCCACCTTCTTCCTATACAGCAGAATTAAATCAAGTCTCCACCCTTAATCCATTAGCCATTAATATTAATCTGTGAACCATTAACCTAAGACTTTGGGGAGCAGGCCCCCAAAGCATGGGCCATTTGGCTGACACCTAAACGAATGTCTGAACTGTAACAGCAGCCATTTTGTGTAAATGTATTCACCAAGCAGGTTAGTGATTTTAGTACTGCTGGGCAGTCATGGAACACTTAACTGGAACACAGGGTATGTGTTACAGTTTAGGAAAAATTGGGAAATAACATGCTACAATTGGTACATTGTATTTTTTCTTTTTATTAGTGTGCCGGTCCAACAAAAGTCCCTGGGTCTGTTTGACTTGTTCAAGTGTCCACTGTGGAAGGTAGGTGACATATTTATTACCTTATTACCCTATTTGCTTTTTTTCCTCTTAGTTTGCCTTTACAATTTATGTCAAAGCTTTATTCATTTGGATATATTTAGTATCACTGTTAATCATAGTGTGTAATTCTCTATAGAGCCTCTCTCTCCAGTTGAGTTCTTTTGTTCTAGGGTACAACTGGGAATAAGCTGGAGGGAAAAGCTTTAATGTTAGTACTCAGAATATCTTCATATTTTAGACAACCTACTAATAATAGTTGAAATGATGAAATAATGAAGCTTTGAAGTGTTAAAATAAACTTACCTAATATTTGTTTTTATAAAGTTTTATTAGAGTAAAATTTAAGCACAAAGTCAGGCTTATAATTTTACACTGTGTTCTCATCCTTCAACTTAAACAGTTGATCAACACACAGTTCACCTTGGTACACCTATTACCTACCCCATCCGTATCCTCACTGATTTTTAAATACCAGATTCTATTCTTGCAGGGAAAACATTACAGATAAAAGGAGTTCCCTTTGAAAATTATCTTAGTGAACTTCAATTATTAATCACTGTTTAACATGTACCAAATGTTTCATTGTACCTTTAAAACATTTTGCCTTCTGTTGACTTAACATCCTTAACCACACCCGTCCCCATCCAAGCCTGAGCATTTCCTCCCAGTTCTTGACTTCAAAATATTACCTAAATACTTGTAGTCTTTTTTGTTATTGTTGTTTAACCCAACCTCCAATATCAACCTCTCTGTTCCTTTATTCTGCTAGTAGCACATTTATTTCTACTGCTCTTTTAGCTTACAAACTTTGTTTTGAATTTAGAGGTCAGTAGCTTAGGAGCCAGCAGGTGGAAAATCACACAGGCTGAAGTCTACATTGTCTATTTGGAAAATTTCCCCTTTGTTACTTTTTAGATCCTCATTACATGAAGAGAGCATCTTTGTTAACTTTTGATTTTCCACATTTTGAGCCTTGGAGTTGCATCTGTTTTTTTCCATGTACACTTACGAGTACCTTTGGAAAGTGTTAAGTGCATATCTTAATTGTGGTTGTTGTGGTTTGAAATCTCTAGGATTTGGGAAACCTGAAAATACTTTGTACAGATAACTTAAAAAGAGAGAGAGAGAGAGAGAAGAAAATTAGAAGCACTTAAATTCTGCACTTGAAGAGGCAGATTCCTCTCCTAGATTTTGAGAGGTGAGAGTCATAATGCAATAAAGCTTCTCTAGCTCTGTTCCTTGGGTGTCTCATAGTGCTCCACAGTACAAGCCTTGAAGGTCATATGTTCACAAAAGACCTGACTCTCCCAAATTGGAGAGACTGATGTTCTTAAAATAGCAAGCAATGAATTCTCTAAGTAGGTTTTGGAAAAATAAATTGAAAATTCTGAACTCTGCAGGTGGAGTGTTTTCAGTTGTAAGCAAGCTTAAATTTAGAAATTTGACATAGTTTTGGAGATACGCAATTGCTTAAGCAGATGATTGAGAGTAACCTGAATTAGAATCTGCATTTTATGCAACTAATTGGTTAATTTTTCTTTTATCATATGATCCTGGGTGTTGATTACCAACTGCACTGCTTTTTCAGTAAGTTTATACTACCTGTTTACTTTAAATTGAGTTATTTTTTCAACTAGGAAAAACAGTTCATCAATAGCATATTTCAGAAGTATTTCTGGTTGGTTTTTATGATACCATTTGGTTTATTTTTCAAAAATTTCAGATTATTGTTTAAATATCTGTGGCCTGTACAGTGAAACTTTTTATTTGTACCGTAAACCAAAAAGTCTGCTACAGTAATTACAACCCAAAGCTTAATGAGGGAAGTGTTCATTTTTATGTTAATTGGAGTATCCAAAACTCTAACTTCTGACTTAGGTGTTTGGGTATTAGCCAAAACATGGCTGATCACAATGTCATAAGTAATCACACTTCTTACCTTAGCCCTAGCTTACATAATAAGCATCTAAACATCTTGTACCTTGGGGGGCAATAGTGTTGTAACTACATTACCTACAGTTTGTTCAGAATGACCTTTTCTTTGATTCTGAAGGTGTTGCTCACCACAAATATTACCATTGTTTTTCATGGCACACCACCTTGAGTACAACCGGAAATTAAAATGGTTATAGAGCCCATATTGTTTGTTAGACTTTACCCTTTTAATTAAACAGCAAATATTTCTTGAGCTATACAAACATGTCTTGATTATGTTGTTTAGATTCTGATTAAACAGTAGTTAAGCATAGACAGGAAAATGCTGATAAAAATGCTAGCATTCACATGTGATAAGCCACAAATCATCTAATTTAATCACCCAAGCATGCATGAGGCATAAATACTGTTTTCTACATTTCACAGATGGAAAAACAAACAGGGAGAGGTTAAGTAACTCACTCAAGCTCCTATGTTCAGAATGGCTCAAAAACCTCTTTTGAATCCAGGCAGTCTAGTTTTTGAACATATGCTCATAGTCATTATTTTACTTAAGCTTGTAGTCGGCTTCATAGACAGAGGTCTCAAGTGTTAATTATTTAAAGTCCAATGAAAAGAAATGGAAAAAGACCATGATGAAATTCTGGGGTGAGTTACCAGTGCCCTGGCTACATTGAGTTTTCCTGAGCTTGCGGCTGGTGCTCCCTGCTTAGCACCACTGTCCTGCTTTGCCTAAGGTGAGTGTTCCCTCAGTGCACTTCAGGTGCCTTGTGCTGAAAATGTCATCTGAATCCTGCAGGGCTATTTATTTTAGCACTGTTTAACCAACATTTATTATGACTAAGCTTTCAGATGTGCCTTGCTATCTATAAACTGGCTGCCCATAAGGATCAGGGACAGGGTTGGGTGGTCTTTAGGTAAAGGTGTAAATGCATTTGGATGCATACCATGTTTATATAAATCCTTGTTTTATTTCATTCTGTTTGCTGTAATAGAACAATTTATTGAATTTGAGTTGGGCTCTAAACACGAAAGATAAGGGTATGGAATGTCTGGTTACATGATTTAGTAGGTTTAATATTTGTATATGTTAAAAAGTTGTAGTGTACCCCTGCAAATGGGTGAATATTGCAAATTAATCCAAACTTAAAGAATTTAAACTGAAGTGGGAAAGTATTCCAAAAATTTTATGAATACAGTCTTTGATGATCTTTAAGCAAGAAGAGAGATAACAATTTTTATATGGTTAAGCGCCCCTATGGGGTCCCGCCACTTTCAAGGCGAGGACTTTGTTTCTAAACAAACATGTTTTCCTCTGAATGGAGCTGATAGTCATTCAAATAAAAGATCTGAAAAAAGATGGAAGATTATCCTATTTCTCTTCTGACTCTCATGTTTTGTATTAAGTGGAAACCTATGCAAAGGCTGTGGAACCATGGAAAGTGGTAGCAATTTACTGAGCTGGTCTTTGATAGTAGCCCAAGTTCAAGGTTAGTGATCTGAGAAAAATGTAAAGGAAGATATCAACTCTAGCAAAGCTATCAGTACAGGAGTTTATAGGTGATAGGTTGGAAAGCCTTGTGTATATATTGCCTTCCCTTGCCTGGCCCTATTCCTGGGTATAATTAAAGATTGGCTATGTGAGTTGGTAGAAAAAAAAGTGTATTTTAAATATTCATTGTAATAAATCACTGAATGAATACTTCTAAATTCTTTTTGATTTTAACATTTAATTTTACAATCTCTTCCAACTATTATTTCCAAAACAATGTTGAAAGTAAATTTTCATTTGTTTTGTAAGGTATGTTAATGGTCATGCAAAGAAACATTATGAAGACGCACAAATACCTTTAACCAACCATAAGAAGTCAGAAAAACAAGAAAAAGTTCAGCACACAGTGTGTATGGATTGCAGTAGCTACAGTACATTCTGGTAAGTGGATATTTTCTGGGAAGAATTCTTTTTCCCATGTGTGTGCAGATATTCTGCCTTCCTTGCTCTCTCTCACCCCTCGCCCTTGTAAGTTAGTTGCTATTCTGTTAGTTCCTTTGAGTCCGGTTAGGATTGGCAGGGGACTGGAGCTTTCAGGGACGCCCCTCCCGTATTCATGTATTCTCTGCCACTTTGCATTGTTTCTTTCAACTCCTGGACCTGCTTTTCTCTTCTACCCTCTCCCTGTTCCCTGTCCAGCCCCATAACTTCAGAGAAATAAATATCTGTCTCATTATAATTTCTTTTTCTTTTCATGTATTGTTTTTAATTGAAGAAACTTATGTTCAAAAAAAACTCAGACTCATGTTTTTACTGTCCAGTTAGCATTTTGTCATAGTCTTACAGATTTTAACTTTAAAATTGTTTTGACCAACTCAGTTCTCTGTACAATTCTCTCTCATATTCCCTTAGAGGAAAATGTGAAGAATTTGGGGTGTAGACTTTAAGAGTCTTTTGAAAAGGAACTCCTTTAAAAGAGGTTGCAGGCTCTGTTTTCTCTGTGTAATATATGTGTCTGTTTTATATAAATGACAATAAAATAGGTGTCTGTTTTTGTGATGACTTATAACTGGGTTATTTCAGTTACAGATGACGTTTAACAATTCATATCCGTGTTCTGTCTCAGCAAGTCAGTATATTTTGCAGTGAGCTTTTGTGCAAAGCAAATTTCTTTCCTTGATTGTCAGTTTATGATAACTCTTCTTTCATTCTGTTTGTCCTTTCACCCTCAGTTGAAAAGGTCATTAACTGTTACTATTTTCTTACTTTCTTTCTTTTTTTTTTTATTATTGGAAAGTCAGATAAATAGAGAGGAGAGACAGAGAGGAAAATCTTCTGCCAATGATTCACTCCCCAAGTGGCAGCAATGGCTGGAGCTGAGAGGATCCAAAGCCAGGAGCCTGGAGCCTCTTCTAGGTCTGCCATGCAGCTGTAGGTTCCCAAGGCTTTGGGCCGTCCTCAACTGCTTTCCTGAGCTGGATGGGAAGCAGGGCCACCAGGATTAGAACCGGCACCCACATGGGATCCTGGCATGTTCAAGGCGAGGACTTTAGCCACTAGGCTGCCTCACTGGGCCCAATTGTTACTTATTAAAGAGGGAAAGCGAAGATGGTAGTAGTCTGTGGCAGGACTCTGGCACAGCAGTTCAGATACGGATTGGGACACCCATGTCCCATTTGGAAGCATGCCTGGGTTTGAGTCCCAATATCAGCTTCTCACTAGTTTGGCATCTGGGATACAGCAGGTGGTCATTCAGGTTGTTTGGTCCCTGCCATGTGGGAGACGAGGGTGGGATTCCCTGTCCCTGGCTTTGGCCTGGCCCAGTTCTTGCTGTTACAGGCATTTGGGGGAGTGTATCTGTTTCTTTCTGTCTCTTTGCCTCTGCAATAAATGAATACATAAATATATTTTTGTTTAATATTTATTTTGTTTCTTTAGACATTTTTATAAAATTGTTTTTTACGAATACAGTTCTATAAATGTAGGGAGTCATTCCTGTCCCTGCCTTCCCTCCCTCCACTTTTTCCCTTTCCACCATCCCCATCTTGTGTTACCACAATAGTATAGTCTCTTAGTACAAGTTACAAGTTTAACTTTCATGATAAGTACAGGCAAAGGTAGAAAACCTAGTATCATAATGTAGAGGTGCATTTATAAGTTTCATTGGGAGTCCTGCTTTTATTTGGAAGTAGTGGCACATACAGCATAGTGCCTTTACTTCCCAGTGTGCTATGGTCCTTTACAGTTCATGTATACGGATATAGTTATGTAAACAGTATATATGCTGGCTTTCTTACATCACAGAAAACATGGTATTTTTTCTTACATCATAAGAAAACATGAGGAATGGCTTATTTCACTAAGCATAATGCTTCTCAGTTGGGAAGTAATTTTTACAGAAACCTCTCTTTGGAAGTTTTTTTTTTCCCTTGCCACACAGCCCTTGAATGTGACACCGGTACTGAGCAGAGATGGAATACAGTGTTCAAATAACACTTGTGATTCTACTAAAGTTGGGTGCCAGTCCTTTTCGTATTACCCTTAGTTCTTAATTGTATTGTAGAAGGACATCTATCAACATGAAGCAAGAAAAAGATGAATGATTTTCCAGGTCTTTTACATTAGTGTAAATTTAACATTATTGTGTTAGGGCTGTTGAATAAATATCTGAAGGTTTAGTTATACAGATCTCTGCTCTGAAGCAACTTCAAAGATTTCTTTTTTTTTAAAGATTTATTTATTTTTATTACAAAGTCAGATATACAGAGAGGAGGAGATACAGAGAGGAAGATCTTCCATCTGATGAATGATGAATCACTCCCCAAGTGAGCGCAATGGCCAGTACTGTGCTGATCTGAAGCCGGGAATCAGGAACCTCTTCCGGGTCTCCCACGCGAGTGCAGGGTCCCAAACCATTGGGCCGTCCTCAACTGCTTTCCCAGGCCACAAGCAGGGAGCTGGATGGGAAGTGGGGCAGCAGGGATTAGAACCAGCGGCCATATGGGATCCCGGCGTGTTCAAGGTGAGGGCTTTAGTTGCTAGGCCACTGTGCTGGGCCTGAGCTTCAAAGATTTCATGGAACATGTATATTATGGCAGTTAAGTATGAGTTTCAAACTTTTTTTATACCAAAATTAGCTTTGAATTCCATTTTCCACAAATTCCAGAGATCCTGTGTGGGTGAATGATGCCCATATCAACAAGGGAGATATGTGGAAAAAAAATTTTTTTGTGGCAAGATTTGTTTATTTGTGTTTGAAAGGCAGAATGAGTGAGTGAGAGAGAAAAAGAATGAATCAATCTTGCAACCTCTCATTCACTTCCCAAGTGGCTGCAGCGGTTGGAGCTGGGATAGTCCCAAGCCAGGAGCTTCTTCTGGGTTTGCTGCTTGAGGGCAGGGCCCTAAGCACTTGGGCCATCCTCTGCTGTTTTCCCAGGCCATTAGCAGGGAGCTGGATCAGAAGTGGAGCAGAGCAGCTGGGACATGAACTGACACCCCTATGTGATGCCAATGCTACAAAGGAGGCATATCGAGCTATGCCATTGTACTAGCCCAAAGACTTATATAAAAATGATAATCTTGTGGCTTCCATGCAAGGGCTAATGCTTAGCTTATTATTATTTGCTATTGTAGAATACTCCTTTCTACCTAAGTTCGGGAGTTTAATTTCTCTCCTTTCCCTCAAGAAACTTATGTGACATAGATACCAAATTACAGAACTGCATGCTTCTGTATATTTGTGACTATTTCTGCTGTAGATAGTGGAAACTAAGATCATTCTCAAAGTGTCTGTTTCACAACCACTATCATACATCATGTCAAATTAATGCAAATCAGATTTGGGGAACATTGTTGGTTCTCAGTTAGCAATGTATATGAATTGTTTAATGGGGAACTTTGGTATTGTTAAGCCTGTGAGAAAACGAAACTCAAGGAATTTTTAAATTGCCTTATCAGAGGGATAGTATTCAATATGGCCCATCGAAAAAAAAGCTGATAGTATGTTTTGACATTTTTATAAGTTGCATTTTAGGAAAATACATTATTAACTAGAATCTGGAATTTCCTTTGTTTTACAATGATATAGTCTGCTAAAGAACATGCTTTTTCATTGCCAAATTGGAATTAAATGGAAAATCTTGAACCTCAGGGCACATGTGTTATGGCAGAGCCTTCCTGGCCAATTGCCAGTCTTTTGTGTGAACTTAATACAGAGATGCAATGTGTGGGAACCCAGAGCATCTGAAATGAGGGAAAGGAGCTGCAGCTGCTCACATCATCGCCCCATTTGTGGGTTTTAAAACAAGATGCTGGGGATTCATTGTATACCATTACACTGATGACCTAAAAGGAATCAGTGATATTTACACTGACGAGACTGTGGTATACAGCAACATTACCCCAGAACTCGCTCTGATTAAGCAGTGAGCCAAAAGAGACTCCTTCTTTGTGTAAGACGGCATGGGCATTTTTCCAGCCTACTTTAGTATTTCAGCACATGATGTTCTCTGCACATGCATTTCTTGTGGATAGAACTCAGTGATCGGCTTTGAAGGTGAAATACTGGTGTATTAGATTGAATACATTTGATTACTGTAGTCAGTGTTTTGATTTCACCTAATACTGTAGTCCTTTTACAGTGCTGTGCTCTAGGCAAATTGTGATGTGTATGGTGAGGCTTGTGGCTTTCCTGTTTTATTTTCTCCACTACAGGAGTCCCTTTCTTACTCTATTTTTGCTTATTTTTATGAAGATATCAATCCCCTCTTCCCCAGGCTCCAGTGCAGGTGAATAAAATCTCTCCTGATGTTCTATTTCTTGAGATACCTGTTATTTCCTGCCCTGTTAGCTGTTTGTAAATGTCCATGGGGGGACCTGTAGAAACCATTTCTCAGACCTTTATCTTTTCTCTGGTGCTTTGTTTCTGATGCAGACTGAGCAGAATGTTTCAAAAGATTGAAATTTGTTAGCTGTCTTCTGAAAATGAAGGTTATATGCCACAATAATATTGTGTCCCCTGACCAACTCAGAGGACTGCCAAGCCATGGAATGTTTTTCTTGCAGAAGACTTAAATCAGGACGTAGATGTGCTGTTTTGTTTCCTTGCCTAGATGGACCCTTGCAAAGCTGCTCCTCTTGGTTTTGATGTGAACAGTGTAATCAGGGAGGAAACAGGTACTGTATGAACCAAGCCAAACAGTGTAGAACAGATTGCTATTTCAAGAGCAGAAAAGCAAAACCAAAGGGAGTCCTTCACATTTGACACAAGCCTATTCTTGAGGAGATAAATAGAATAACATGAAATGGGGAGGTAAATGAAGACTTCAGTAACAGTGATAATCTTCCCCAAGATTTTCACACAAGGGCTAGTGTCCTGTTGATTGCTTGTTAAGTAATGCTTCTTGCCTTCCCATCCAGTTTCCCTCTGAAGTGAAACTGTG